TATATATATATATATATATATGTAAGTTATTTTTAGTAGTTGATTATGTATTACCACTTATGAAGACAAGTACAGCCTATTGTATGCGTATATGATTTTGGTACCATATGTTGTTACTTGGTTCTTGACACCGTTGGTTTGATATATACGTATAGTCTCACCCACTTACTATCCTTCTGGTATCATCGTTTCTCCATTTAACCCATTTGTCCATGCTCTGTTGCCTGTGCAGTGGTGTTGGCGTACCATGTGATCACCGTGTGGTTCATTCGCTGCCGCATGAGCAATCGCCTCAAATTTGCAAAGTATATCGTAGACCGGCTGTCTATTTATAGCACAGCGAATGCTTCGGCGAGTTCGCGCAGTCTGGAGGGCCAGGTATGTGTTGGGCTTAGTGACCTAGTGTGCATAGTAGCCAATTGAAGCATATACAATCAGTTGTATGTTGTGCGTGTATATATATCCGTATGCTTGTCCTTGTCGTTCTATTTATTGCACAGCCGACGACGCGGAATGCACACAGTCTGAAGGTCAGAAGGGTGTGCGTGTTCAACCACCCTCTATATAGTTTAATATACATGAATTGTTCGTGTCTATGTATGTTCATATGTATATACATATATATATATATATATGCCTGTGTACCACCAATCTATTTATAGCACAGCGAGCGCCACGGGGGAGTGCACGGTATCCAGAGTGTCAGGTGAGTAGTACACTATATCACCCACGTGTATGATATTCACTCAATTGTTGGGATGGGTTTACAAACACGCATGCCCGTGCCCCTATTACAGTGCTTGTGTATGCGCAGATGCTTACAAGCACACATCACACATGCGTCATATATTCAGTATGACGTGTACATGACGGAATAATAACACAGTGCGCTATACCGTTCTGCCCATCTGTCCAAACTAGTGTACAGCGCATTGTTGGTATCTCTCGGGTTAGCTGTTGTCTGTAGAAGCCGTTGCGTCTGAAGAGCGTGGCGCGTATAGGGGTTGTTGATTGATAGCGTCTTCCGTCACGTACGTCTGCACTATTTTACGTACACAAAAGAAGATATAGTTCGCTGATATCCCAATGAAAGTGTGTGTGCACGTATTGACAGGTAGTACGTTTATTAATTTTGGCTCATACACGCATACTCTTTCAGTGCTGTCTTTCCTGCAATATGTCGCTAGTGCAGTGTCGTATAGTTGGGCAGGGCATCATTCCGTATTACTGTACATGCGTTTATCCAATCTCATATTCTAATACATTATGCTGCACAATTGCTTGCCCAGTACGCACACCTATGCACCTTCTCAATTGTCCACTATACACCTACCGACCATTCAACCACACCAGTCGCTGGGTGCCGAACTTCAAGAGGCCTGTATGGATATGCTCGCGCGTTATACGTTTTCGAGTTGCAAATCCGATGTTGTCAGGTATGGATACATTATGTATATATACACTGTTAATGTAATT